GGGTGGGGTTTGGCGGAGTGGGAGTTGGTTGGCAGAACCCTTAGGTCCGAAGTTATTTTTTGCCTCTCGGGTTGAAGGACTTTGAAATCTTACTAAAGTGGATCATAATGTTTGAACCTAAGTCCTTTGGTTCCCATGGGAGTGTGGGACATGGGGGAGGGTAGGATAGGGCCGGGCCCAGATATTACACAACTGTACCACTATTTACCCTTATAATTCAGTTTAGTTCTTACGCATAATAGCCACACATTTTGTGGGGGGCTTACGGCGGGGTGGGGGTGGGGGTGCAGGGGCGGGGTTAGGGTGGGGGTTTTAGGGGGTGGGTTAGGGGGGGTAGGAACCGTCAATTTTGCAAACGGAACACCGGAGGTACCCCAAAATGCCAGTGGCACCGCTAGTGGCACCGTACCCCAGTGTCATTAGAACCCCACCGTATTATTATTATTATTATTATTATTATTAGAACATAATTATAGTAGGAGTTAAGGGATTTTACTTCCGGTAATAAATTGGAAATGTATTTAATGATTATAATCATTTTTATTCATTTATTGAATTGTAACGCCTGTTTTACTCACCACGCATTACCCGTATATCCAAATTTAACAAATTATATATCGCTGGTCACCATTTTACGAGATCTACCCGAAAACCTAATTTTTAATTAAAATGGTCAACTTTACAAATAATTCATATTTTGAACTCAATAAATAATATATTCATTTCTATTAAAATAACGACTAACTACTAAGCCAGGTTTCAGGGCATTACACCTACGGCCATAATTTATAACAAAAAAATATGTGGAAAAAAATTATTATGGTTAAAAAGCGAAATGCGCGTAAAATTTATGTTTTTATACCTTTCCGATCTTGTTGCAACATTGGATCTCCTTTTTTGGGCGCCAAAGTACTTCCAATTTCTACATGCTCGAATAAAATTTTTGCTACCTCCATGATCACGTCTACGATATGATAAAAGTTTCAGCTTCATCCGAAGAAGGTGAAGAAGAAGAAGAACTCGACATCTTATCTGATGAAGGAGATGACATTGTGGCAGGAGATGTTTAAAATGAATATGAAGAATGGAGAACTCAAAAAATGGATGGAAAGTGTGTGTGTGAAAAATATGAGTGGTGTTATGTTTAAATAGTGATATTCTTTATTTTTATACTTCTAACAGCTAATTCACCTACGAAAATAAAAAATCTAAGCGTTGAAGGCCAACGAGAAAAACGAAGAGGGATTCTTGCTCTTTCCGTTCCCGCAAGGGGTTGTTCCCCTTCCCTTCCTGCACCAGGTGGCATCCGTTTAGCCTTCCTGTGTGGCATGTGTTGAAGATTACAGCGGGAATAATAATAATAATAATAATAATAATAATAATAATAATAATAATAATAATAATAATAATAATAATAATAATAATAATCCAAACTTATAAACCGTTCGGATTTTACAACGAGAAATAAAGAAAAATAAAATTGGAGTCTTCGGAAGCTCGAACGGACTGGGAGAACACGAACAGACAGCAAGGCCGTGACCTCGGAGAAGATGATCAGAAAAAGGGATTCGCCGGAGCAGTTTCTCGAGGTGTAGGTTAGGAAAGCGGAGTCGCCGAAGCTTTCCTTAAGGTAGTATTGCCCGCCTCCCGCACTGGCAAACGTGGGCACTCTCCTCCCAGGATAAAACCGCAACGTGCTAAGTCTAGAGCGGTAGAGCAGAGCACCGGCGAGCGAGAATGACGGAGAGCTATCGCCAGAGAAGATGACCGGAATTTGGGGATTCGCCGGGAAGTTTTACAGCAGAGAGAGAGAGAGAATTTTCGAGTGTACTAATCTACTCATCTCTGCGGCCAACCCCTCCTTTTATAAGAGAGGAAGTTGGCCCTTTGTTAGACCGTCGGACATTACGAAGAGTCGAGTGACTCTTCGTCCGATTATGCATGCATGCTTCAACCCTTGGACGACACTTCGTTAATTACGAAGTGTCCACGCGTGTTCAATTCGGTCTTGTAAAAATTTAGCCACGCCGCAGACGCGGCCCCGCCCAGCCCCGACGCGTGCGCGCGTGTCGTGTCGTGACGAGCCGGACGAACGGCGGCGGCGGCGACGCGCGAGGAGTCCTCTTCTTGTTCCTTTCATAAGCTCAATTCAATGCCAAAACTTAAATATGAGAATACGAAAGGTTTAAAAACCGGTGTGGGACAAAGGCATTTACACTACCTTAGCATTCAACTTTGAGAATTAATTTCTCATTCACTCGAGCACCGTTTGTGGCGTGTAATACGTCAAGACGTTCGTCTTACTTACGAGGTTAAACGTCCATAATTATTTCGGAAAATAATTTGTGGACCCTACCGAATTTATGTCCAAAAATTGTCCAATTTACTTAAAATTTCCAACAGCATGCCGTTGGGCCTAGCTAACACATTGTCTTATCATAAGTTTAATGCGGGGCTTAATCAATGTCATGTAGGTGTCATGCGGCATGTCCCTCCATCAAACCCCATCTATTGATGGTGTTATGGTAGGGGACTTGATGGGGTTTGACCTTTTTTTTTCTTTTTTATGTTTTTTTATTTTGTAAACAAATTTTTCTTTAAAAAATTATGAATACAAATATTATGCAATAAAAATATTTAAATATTAGACTAAAAATTTAAAAATATAATATATAGAAAAAATAAAAATTAACCTATAAAAAAGATAAAATACATTTACTCATTGACGACTCAATTTTTTTAAACATGCTCCACCAAATTTTCTTTCAGCATGTTTTGTATTTCCTTACTTTAGACTTCAGCGCAAATCTCATTATTCTTTCACCGTTCAAAATTTGGGCACTTTCTTTTCTTGTCTTCTAAAATCATGATGTGGAGAATTATGCAAGCGTACATAAAATCCCTAATTTTGTTCTTTTTTCACATACGACATGGATTGCGAACGATATACATTTTCATTAAAGAAGACCAAATGCTCTTCCAATGTCCTTTCTCGCAGCATCTTGTGTCTTCTTGAAATATATTCTTTTCTCATCCTTCACATGGTGGCATGCAAATATAATTTTACAAGTGTGGCATACTCAAGATAAATGCCATGAGTAAGATAATATTCGTATTTGTTTTTAGCGTCATTACAAATAAAAGAAGACCAAGGTGCAACACCATTATAAACATCATCGAATATTGGAGATTGATCGAGGACGTAAATATCTATTAAAGTGCATCCCACATCGGAAGTTCCAGGGTAAAATAATCGACATATAAGCTCTTGAGTTGAACTAACTAATCGATTGAATTCAAGCTTTTAATTTGGTTCAGCCCAAGTGTCTTATAGCCCAATCCATTTATCTCTATCCAATCCAGTTGATGTGACCCTCGCAAAGCCGTGGGTCAATTTTCAAACACCTAGTGTATACAATCAATGTTTCCAAGCATCCTAGGAATTGAAAACCATGCATGCACATGTTCATGGACGACATATATCTGTTGAGTGTCGCACCATGTCGGCTTCCATAAATACTTATGATCGTATAAATTGATGATGCCTATAAATAATAGTATGTCATGTACATACACTTAGTATTATATATTAAACTAAAAATGGGGTACATGCGTTCACATAAATATAAATTACCTTTACAAAAATGATAGAGACTATCACGAGAAATTTTGTCCGTTTTAGACTTAAGTATTAATTTTGTAACATCACAATTTAAAACATTTAAAACTTTATTTAAAACAAAATGTGCAAAATATTTTGTAATAACAAAAGAGTATAATTATTTAAAATAGTGCGGAAGCAATTTGTAGATTACAAGAGTATGGTCAACCCATAATTTAACATATGATAAAATCCTTTACTCATAGTAAATTTGTGCACGTCCACGCATCGCCTCCATCTCAGTACCCTCAAGGATAGGCTCCACGTTTATTTTCTCTCATACCTACGTGTAGAAAAATTAAAAAGTCTACACGCTCAGCAATGAAGTTGAGTAGTGCCATGACACAACAAAAGAATTCATAGAATAATTTCCTTCAAAATATCAATCACATATATTCGTTCAAACACTCACTTTTTCGTATTTAAAACTGTCTTTGTTATTTTGGTAATAAATATAGTCAATTATGTGTCATTTTAGTTATCATAATATTCATTATTTGTCACACACAACTTCATATCAATCTTTATCATAAAAAATTACTCTTAATATATTTGAGGTTAAAGCCAAATCATAACAGTGCTCTTAAACTATTCTTAGTCTAAGGCTACTACATATTGATAAAGAGAGTCTTAAAATATAATTACTAATGGATATCGGGTCCATGATAT